AAAATAATATAACAAATAATTTTATTTAAAATATTTAAATAAAATTTTAAAATAAACTATCATTTTAATATACAATCTGTAAAACACTTTTTTTAAAATATGTTATATTAAGAAATATTAATCAAGTCACGCAATACTCTTAACATGTGCCATTGTTTTATTTATAATAGTGTTTGTTGTACAAGTTGTCTTCGCTACCTTAAATGGCAATCAACACTCATCCCCTACTTTCCGCAGTGACGCAACAAGTGAGTCATATAAAAAAAAAAAAATTACTTTCGTCGCTACAAAACTTCTAACGTTCTCCTCTATTCTAAAATATTTTTTTATTGTAAATTTGTTTTAAATTAATTCTTATTTTTTTATTTTTATAAGTAGATAAGTATTTTTTTTTAATTTTATTATTATTTATTTACTTTAATTAATTTTCTGATTGCAGAAGTATACTTTTATATTTTAACTTTTTTTGGTAATATAGATAAATACATTTTCATCAATTATTTAATTAAAAAAAAAACCTATAGTTATCTAGGGATAAATTAAAGGAGTAGTAAAACATATTTGATAAGTAGAAATTTCATGATAATATAATAATAAAATAAATAAAATAAAAGATAAATTAGAGATGGGAATACATAATATTACATTGCTCAAGATAATGCTGAGATACAAACACCCTCTTAGCCTATCATACAAAAGCCTTAATACGCTTTTTATGTTTATAGGAGACATAATACTATAAGGAAAGAATAATTAATTAAAATTCTGCTATTAATAAGATTATAATCCATTTCAAATTCTAAATCATTGATTAAAATTGGAGAGCATCCATTTCCTCAATCCTGGGCCTTATCAGAAATCTCCTACAGTATTAATAATCCCATTATCAATATCTTGTTTAATAGATAAAGATATCTCATATTTAGTTCATTAAGAAAACATGTAGATAAAAATACAAATTTTATTATTTTTTATTTAAATATATAAATTGTATTTATTTTTAAAAAATATAATAAAATTTTTTTATTTAAAAATACTAACTTTCTAT